AAAGTGAGAAGGAAGAGGAGCAGTCATCCCACTTTCTTCCTTGGACTGTTGCTGGTAGTAAGAATTCTGGCAAATATAAGTCCTTGTGGTGCATACCCACTGCCTAAAAATAATGGCTGCAAAAGCGTGCTTTTGTTGCATCATTGTACGTGGCTTTTTATCATATTTCTCCAATCAAACTGTTCGAACTATAGTTCACCGGAACTTCGGGATTTATCCGGAAACGAGAATATATCACCGGAGAGAGGATTTGCTTTCCCCTAAAGCGATTTTCCTAAAATTTAGGCACAGGCACTAAGATTGTTTGATTTTTGCTCGTATGCCTTTTATCAACATTACTGCTTGTTCGGACTGCTCTCAGCACACTGTGTCATGTAAAATTTTTAACTAATTTTAGGAAAGTTATGACAGTCCCTGTAATTGATGGTATCGACATGAATACTTGGTCTTATCGCAGGGTTTATGGTTCCGCAGATCGCCATTTTCGGTAAAACTGTACTCTACTTATTAAGCCTACGAGCTGCTTGCGTCTTTTTTTTTTTTCGCTAAAAAACCGATAGTCCCTAGTTCTCTAGAATGTGTATAGTTTTTTCATAAGATTTGATTTGCAAGTTAACACTTTTTATACGTTTTATGCTGTTTAGCAGCAGTACAAAACGCATATTGTCACCGGGTTGTCTGTGTGTGCGTGTATTTGTCCGCAACAACTTCCCCACAACTTTCAAACACATGACATTCAAGTGAAATTCTTCTATTCTTCTATTTCAACTCGGGAACCACAAAAACTAGAAAGCTGAAAATTTAGGGTAACGTCACCCATCTACGCGCGACCCTGCAAATTTAAATTCAGCCTCCCCTTACTCGCGGGTAACATGTACGGTCCCGTGAAAATTTTTTGACGAGTAAATTGTTATCTCGGGAACCACTGAATATATGAAGCTGAAATTTTAGTGTAATAACCCCCTGCCCACGCTCGACCTTGCCTATTCAAGCTCAGCGTTCACGCGCTTTCGAGTACCACCTATGGCCTGTGAAACTTTTGGCGGGTGAATTATTATCTCGGGAACTACGGAATCTAGGAAGCTAAAATTTTGGTGTAATGACTCCCTACCGACGTACGACATCGCAAATTCAAATTCAGCATTCTTACGCTCTCGGGTATCACCTACGGCCCCGTAAAAATTTTGGTGGGGAAATTATTATCTCGAGAACCACAAAATCAGGAAGCAAAATTTTATAGTAATGTGTTCTTGTCCACATACAATCCTACAATTTTAAATTCAGCTTCCCATGCGTCAGGATATTACTTATGGCCTTGTGGAAGTTTCGGTGGGACAGTGAAAATCATTAGCAGGCAATCTTTCGGTGAACGGAACTGCACGAAACGCATGTTCACACCGGCTGCCCTGGTGCGTGCCGCTGTTTATTTATAGTTGATTTAGCCTTTGAATTATCAATTCATGGTGCAGTGCTTTAATTTTTGGTCATTTTGTTGAGAAGGGTATCCGTAATACGTTGGGATGGTAAAAGGCTAAGGCTGTGAACAGGCGAAGATACGACG